GATTACACTCTCAACGACTTGGACCCCGAGACAGGCATTATGCGACCCGTGGCCTCATATTTTGGGGCCCGACGTTTGTTTGAAAAGTTACAGGGAGTGGAGGTGCACTGGCCCAATGGCAAAAAGATACAGCCACCCGATGTTCCCTATTGTGGGTTCACAGGCGATGCACCACATTGCGTTATTAAAGGTATGCTTGTTTACTTTCACTTTCATTCAACTCAGATATTAAGATATATTTTACGAATGCGTGATTCAATGAGAAAACTGTTGGACTATGTATGCACCAGTTGATAGTCATCTAAAACTTGATAGTTTCATTTTTGAATTTGACAAATTACTTTGATAAACTTGGATTGAGTGCCACTATGTCTTCTGGGTCATAGTTGTAAAAATCTAAAATAATGAAAAAGTAAGGGACGGGCATTTAGATTTTTAGTTTTCCAAAAACAAAGTAATTCTTGTTTTGAAACCTTTTAATTTTTAGCCCATTTAACAACATTTTAAAGTAATCGTCGTTATAATATTAGCTCAATTGTAACAAGTTTTATAAAATTGTGGGCGAGAATGTACATTATTTTAATTGATTCAAAGAAATTGTGTAAAATAGTGGCATATTTTCTTAGCCAATATTTCTGCAAATATCACTTAAATAAAGGTATTATAATATCGATTAATTATTTGATTTACAGAACCATTTCCAATCTGGGCCATTATTATGATCATATTTCTCTGTATCGCAATCGTTGGGTTTATAGTTACAATCTTTGTGTCCAAGAAATTGAAATACGAATCAGATTTGGCGGACCTTTGGTGGAAAATTAATTACGATGGTAGACATGACTTCAATATGATTATTATATGGATTATTTCATTTAAATCTATTTTCAGACATCATTTTCCCCGAACATGTGGTCAAAAGCAGACAATCGGGAGGAAAGTCTGTTATGTCACTTACCTTTTCTGAAACTGATGGATACGCGGCCTCTGGAAAGGCATCGACAGCTAAGGTCGGGTCAGTCGTCAACTCACTGGTCAGCGCCGCCGGAGTTATCGATTCAGTTCTGGTCGCCTCTTATAAGGGGATCAGAGTTGCGGTCAAACCGTTGAAAATAAAGAGATTGAATTTGAGTCGAGAATTACTACAAGAATTGAAATCTGTATGGATTCTTATGATTTTATGTTATGTACTGTACATCTAATGATAGAGTCAATGTCTACCCAACCTACCATTCCCTCCCACACCAAGCAGATGCGGGAGCTGACTCACGAGAATTTGGTCAGATTTGTGGGGTTGTGTCCGGATGAGCAAAATCTAGCCGTTGTGACCGAACTCTGCATTAGAGGCAGTCTTCGGGATCTGTTGGAGAACGAGAAGATCAACATTGACTGGAATTTCCGGTACTCTATGATGACAGACATCGTGGAGGGCATGATATTCTT